GGTGCTCTTGGTCCAGTCACTTTCTCTCAGCCCTAGAAAGGAAGCAATGGCAAACCACTTTGGAAAAGCCTTGCCAAAAAAACCTGCAGACTTGAACTGGACAAGATTGACTTTCCTTTGCAGCAGTGCCTCACCATTTGATCCTTTTATTCCCCTTGGTTCCAGATTCTTGCTCCAATTCAATACACCTCTTCCTTCACACATACATCAGAGAAACTATATTCTCACCCCTCTCTGCTTGCAACAACCTGCCCTCTGCTTTTGTATGCAGCACTGATGCCCTGGGGGGAAAAATGCTGTCTCAGCCGGAACAGCAAAGGGTTTTCCTTTCTATATCATAATTCCTAAGAGGGTTCAGGTTATTTTGACGCATGCAAATACACCCCATTTTCCTGTGATTAAAAGCATCATTTTTTGTGGCAACCAAAAGAGGCTGCCTAAAGCAGCTGCCTACTCAGCTTGATGGGAGGCCAGCTCTGCTGTCAGGACATGACACACTACTGCTGTATCTAGAGCAGGGCTTGTGCTTGTATAAAACATACAGACCAATTCTTAAGTAGTGGAGGTGCTCCAGTAGAAGAAAATATATGTAGCTCAGGGTTAAATTATGGAGTCTCAGTGGTCTCTGAGCTTGGTTTTTTTCTTGTAGTATTTCATTACCCAACTAGTAGGTAACCTCATCAGTGTGAATGAGTCCGGGATTTGCTGCCTCTTTATATGCAGAAACTTCCCCTACTAGTTTTGGTGGGGGTTGATTTCCTTCATTAGAAGAAGCAGGTTCCTTCATTACTGTTTTCTTCCTGATTGTTTGCCTAGTGCTGATCCCTGCTTACCTGAATGAGGGCTACTACAGGGAATGTGTTGCAGTCTTTTGGCTTCATTCCTAGTCCAAAAGTAATCTGATTGACAGAATGGAGATCTGTGGAGTACATATATATATTTTTTTGGGGGGGTTAGGAGTGGAGTGTTTTTGATACCTCAAGATAGCTCTCCTTTCCATCACAGCTCCTCCTTCTTTGCCTCTGATCTATCAGTTGCCGCAATGGACTTGAGATTAGGTGCTCCTTCAAAATGGTGTGAAATCTGTATAATTGAGGGCTACATGGCAGATGCATCTGATGCAGTAATTCCAACTTTTCTATAGTGTGTGAGCCAAAATTGCTGTTGAGGAAATGCTCAGCAACCAGAGCGAAGGGCATGTCCCCCACTAGTAGCCTAAAGTAGTGAATAAAAGTTGGACAGATCAAGATATCATCATCCAAAGTACTGTATCCTAGAATATGTCATGTACAAAAATGTTGTTGGCTGAAATAGGAAAGCTAGTCTTTAAAACTCAAACTGCAAAATAATGACTCTAATAATGAGCCTTTGCAATGGGCTGGAGTTGAAATGGAAAAAGTCATAAGACATGATATTTAAACATGTTTATGGTGTATTTTCAGGTCATGTTCAGAGAGATGTGATGAAGAGTTTTAGGTGCTGTTGATTGTGCTGATCAGGACAGAACATGGAATCAATACAGGTAGTCCTTGATTTACAACCGTTTGTTTAATGACCATTCGAAGTTACAACAACATGAAAGAAATGACTTACAGCCGTTTTTCACACTTACGACCATTGCAGCATTCTTATGGTCATGTGATCAAAATTCAGATGCTTGGCAACTAACTCACATTTATGACAGTTGCAGTATCCAGGGGGACATGTCACCAGCTTTTGTGACCTTCTGACAAGCAAAATTGATGGGGAAGCCAGATTCACTTAACAACTGTGTTACTAATTTAACAACTGCAGTGATTCACTCAACAACAGTGGCAAGAAAGGTTGTAAAATGGGCCAAAACTCATTTAACAAAAGTCTCACTTAACAACAGAAATTGTGGGCTCAATTGTGGTTGTAAATTGTATCCTCCCCCTCAGCCTCCACAGTGGGAGGAGATTTATTATGCCTGCTCTTTGGTCAGCTTAGTTTTTGGGTCAGTTTGAGAGTGGGAGTTGGGCTGGATTCTTATAGACATTTGGCTGTCTTCAAAATTTACCCCATATTTTATATCCATATTATTTGGAAAAGGCCCACTGGAGAAGTCTCAGGGCATAAAGTTCCATTATTAACCAGCTGGAGATGGAGGCTGTAGAATTCGAGGTCCCTCAAGAAACCCTTACAGACAACAGAGACAGCTCAATAAACCAAATTAAGAATCTAGCTCTCTCTGAAGTTGTCAATAGTTTTCTGGGATTCATTCTCCCTTTTTTTCCTTGGGGGTCTCCAAAGAAGAATAAAATCCGTTTTTCTTAACTTTGAAGAGGCAGCTGCTTTTTTACTGATGAAAAGGAATATTATTTAAAAGCAGATTGTGTTCTAAGCATTTCTGCTCCCACTCAGGCAAACTGCTTCAATAACCACCCATTAAGAGTTCTCCATTCTGATTTTTACAAGTGGGAATTGTAGCTGCATACAATGCAATATTATCTTGTACCCCAGGAAGGAAAAAAGAGTAAGTTTGAAAAGCATCAGGGGTAGCCTTTCAGAGAACATTTGTTCACAAGAAGACCTTTATTCCCCCCCTCTTCTAACGTAAGATCTATTTATGGTAAAATGACATCTGCAGCATCATGTTCTTTGTGAGCCTGATCCTCTGAAAAATTAACAGTATATACTAGGAGCCCAAACTTTAAACATTAAAACAGACCATGAGAAGATACAGCCTCCTTGCTAGATTTCATCACATTTTCAGCATATGAGCATATGATATATACTTTGCTGAAAACATTCTGGCATTGGGCTTTAATTAAAGTACCTCTCAAGACAGACAACTCTTAATCAGCTTTTAACTGTGTATTGAGCCCTCATTTTCCTCACTGATCATTTCTCTTTTCATTTGAGAACATCCAGTTCTGCAATCCTACTTTTAGACCAACATAATACTGCCATCCACAAAGATGAGCAGCAGAAGGTATGTTCATCGTAACTTCCATGAAATCTGCCAGTAGCATTCCTTCATGGGAAATTCAAAATGGTGACAATTGTACTTTGGTAAATTAGAAGCGGCTGTATGTTAACAACATCTTATGGAATCAAAAAAACCTTCAAATTCAGCATCTGACTGATGGTAGCAGTTACTGGATGCAACTGGATGTGGTGATTTGTGTTTAAATCCATTCTATCTTGAAGATCATTGGCAATCTTCAGTATTTCTAAGCCTTATTACTGGGTTAGAAGGTAGAATTACTTGACATGGAAACCCTTTTTGTTTTCTTTTTAAATTGCCTACAAATTCAGAACTGCCCCACTTGTATCAGAATCCAGGTTGTTAGACTTGACTATCATACCATGTATGATAGCACCTGTATGTAAATTCCCGGCCACTGGTATAAGATTGTGTAATACTTGCCTCCCTGCCATCTATTTCTGATGGGAATCACAATGGGGAAGAGGACTTTGTAGAAGAGTATTTTGTGCAAAACAAGTCTGGCTTTTCAATATGCATGATACATTGAATACATTGCTAACACCTTCCTGCTTAGGACTCCAACAAGCACTTTGCCTTGGGCCTCCACGCAGGAGTTCCAATCTCATCCCTTGGCGAAGCTCATCCATAGAGGTTAGCAAAGCGGAAGGAATTTCATGTTACGAAATAGAAAGGCTGCAGATCTCTGCTCCTTCTCTCCTTCTTCCTTTTGCTGTATATGTGAATGCTAGAACTTATTTGAACTGTCTACTGCTGAAAAACTCTCGCACTGGTTGGTGCGCCTTGATAGTGTTTCCAGGGACACTGAGGGCAGGGGAATTGCTTGTCTTTTTCAATGCTATTTTTGGATTTTCTGTGTATTGTGTGCTTTCTCCTCCATCCTTATGCTATCCTGATGGTCTAAACACACTATGTTGTTATTGATTTATTCCATTACTCTGCTGTTTCTCTGTCCAAGTAGGCATGCAAGATGCCTGATAAGATAAAGATTTAAAAATATGTCGAGAGCAGTGCAATTAAAACATAAATGAACATTCTACATCATGACATCATGTTAAAACATCGAGCTGCCTATTCTGAGTATGTAGCGCTAGGGAGGGCATACATGCCTGCTTTTCTTAACCTGGTGAACTTCCCATAATCCCTAGCCAGCTTTGACTCGGTGTTGGCTGCCAGCAATGGGAGATGGATTCGGACACATCAGTCTGGAAAAGGTTTGGTGTATGTCAGACCTGTGGGCGAAAATTGCCATCTGACACCATTTCTTCCTGTGGATGCACTTTGGGTCATAGCTTTGGGGGGGGTTCTCACATCATGAATTAATAGCAAGAGGGTCGCCTCAACCTGATGACTGTGTACTATGCATGCATCCACACCGCAGAAACAAGAAAGCACCCCAGCAGCCCACTAGCCTATCTAGCATGGGGAATGGGGGGAGGTGGGGGTTAGATATGAAGGCTGCGTGGAGGGTGTCGGATTTTCACAAGGGTCCCATATACCCCTTTCCCGCTATAAGTCCTGCTATCTATAAGAGCGCCAGAAATAGAGGCGAGCGCGGACGGCGTCGCTCTTAAGATTCGCAGTGCGCCGATTTTGCAAAATAAATAAATAAATAAATAAATAAAAAAATCTCCCGCTTAGACCAACGTCGCCCGAAAAACCACGACCCGTTGGGTGAGCCCGGCATCAGTCAAGGGCGCCACTCGGGCTCCATCCAAACGCCTCGAAGCGCGCAAGTGGACGTGCCGTGGCTCCGGTCCAGGCGGTTCGAAGCCTCGCTCCGAGCGGGAAGCCCGCCGCGCTAGCGCGTCCGGGAATGAGGAGCGCGTGCGGGGGAGCGAGGCTCGCTTGCCTTGGCCGCCCGGCGTGAATTGGGCAACGTGCGCGCGCGCAACCGGGGCCCCGCTGGTGCTGGAATGAAGGACGCGAGCGCGCGCCCGAGAGAGCGCGAGCGCGCGAGCTCAGCCGGGTCACACTTGACTGCACGTGCAGCGACGCCCCTTCTTCGCCCCGGCGCGCGCCAAACCGTGGCACCTGGACAAGCGCTGCCCGGCCGCCTCTTCTCGCGCTCCCGCACACCACCACCCCCACCCCCCCGCCCGTCCGCCCGGCCCCGCTCCTTTCCTGCTGCTTACTGCAGTGTTGGGGGGAGGGCAGATCTGGACCAAGATGGCGTTGCTGCTGTTGCAGTTTCTCCCAGGGTCAGCACTGGAACAGCTCCCGCCTTTGCTTTCCTATTAGCGCCGGCGACCGCGGCTCTGAAGTTCTGCAGTCGCTCGGAAGCTTCTTTCCCGCCGGGGCGTTATTGCTGCCCTCTGGTCGTTTCCTCTCGCCGCTCTAGCCTCTTCGCTCCTGTGGAGGGCTCCTGTTTTGGTGCAAAGCTTCCCTCTCTGTGGCAGCCGGACCTTGGGGAGGGGGGGGGGGGAGAAGGGGTGGTGGTGAGCCGAGCGTGAGACCGTATTTTGGGCTCTTGCAGGCGCTCGCGAGGCTGTGTGCATTCTTTGGGTGACGGCAAGCAGTCCGACCCGGCACGATTTTATTTTGCAGTTGGCATCGTCTTTTGTTTTCATTTGACGCTGCAGCCCCGAATACCAGGGTGGTTGCATTTTATTTTATTTTATTTTGCCTCAAAAAACAGCCCTTATCGCCGTGGTGGTGGTAGTTCTTTAAGCGACTCTCTCTAATGCTACCCTTTGCAAGTGTGGCAATTTCTAGCCGAGCCCACTTCATCCCGTGGATACCTGAAGGAGACGCATCGGGATAATAACATGGAGGAAGAGGAGGAGCTGCAGTCTTGAATTCCCTGGCTGTGCTGTCAAGAAGAGAGGAGATGGTGATTTTTAATGTGACACCCGTGCAACTTCTGGAGTTGTGAGAGCTTTTAATCTCCCCTGCATCCCACCGCCTCACCTGCCTGGTGCCCACCGCCTTTGCTATTTATTTATTTATTTGTTTTTTTAAATCTACTTTTCGTTCTCTCGTCTTCGTACTTCCCACAACCCCCCTCCCCACTTTTCTGCTTTTGCCATGGGAATGGTGGCAAATCTCTTGGCTATTGTCATGTCGGCTTCATTTTTCAACCCCAGCTTTGCCTTCAGTTCGCACTTCGACCCTGGTAAGTTGATTTACTTCTGGAGCTTTGGAGTAAAAAAAAAAAAAATTCCCCCAGATGCTCAGATGACTTTCTTCACTTTGCAAAATTACTATGTTCCACTGGCCTTCCTATTTTCCTCTCGGGTTTTGGTTTTTCCTATCCTTGCTTTCCATCTCTGCTACCAAAAAGGAGTTGAATTTTGTAGCATGTTATTCCCTCGTCTTGCAGGTTACCTGTCCCCCCCACCCCAGCCCTGGTCCTTGCGGCACTTCTTTGCATTGTTTTAACCCTTTGCTGAAACTGTTCCAGCTTATATAATAGTTGATGGCAGGCTGGCAACTAAAGGGAGCAAACAACAAAACCCTCACACACTGCTTTTGTCTTGGGTGTAATGATTTTAGAAAGGTTCCAGAAGAACAGCTCTTTCCTGCAAAGTTACATCACCAATAATCAGCTATTCCACCCTTTCCTTCTCACTGGCCTTTTTTGGCAATTGAGAGTATGTAAAAAGAATTCTTGGGCATTTTGGTAGGAAGTAAGTAGACATGGAGACCTAATTGTTCCTGATAGATGTGCAGTATCCTTGCATGTAACAAGATGTTGACCATATCAGCTGTTTAAACATAGATGGCTTTGTGTAACAAGCTGTGAATTGTCTTTTTCTTGCCTGGAAAGTTGCTTTGAATTTCAAAGAGGTAGAATTGTAGACAGGTTTGGGATCAGAGATGTGTCTCTGCATTCTTGAAATGGTTGCTTTGAATAAAGTCAAGAAAAATAAGGAAAATATTCACCTGGGACTGGGCCTTCTCTGTGGTGGATGGCAGACGGAATTAATATCCCCCTGGTGGAATGATTGATTTACCTTAGTCAGCCATCAACCTTTTGGCTGGGTAATTGGTAGCCCTTGATCTGTGGAAAAGCAGTATGTTGTCTTGGCAAAGACCAAGTTGTGTTGCAGTCCCTGACTTACATCTTCTAGTGGTGGGTTTCTCTGCTTTTTCCTAGCCAGATATCCTCAAAGGTAGAAATGTATCATTTCTTCAGTTTTCCAGTTTCTTCCTAGAGGGGTTTTATACCCATTGTCTGAATTCTTTTTGTTTATGATTGTAGAAATAAACTTCAAGGTTCTGTGGTTTTCATATCACTCCCTCCCACCCTTATATCTTGGCTCTTCATCTCTCTTCACTGATTTGTTGGTTCCATAGACCTTATCCGTATAAATTGTTCAATTGACTTAGAAATGGGTGTGAATAAAAGATGAATTTGGCTTTTAACACCCTCAAATGACACTTTTCTACCCTCCAGTGCAATCTTCAAATGAAAACAAACTGCCTTGTTCTGCTGTGATTAAAAGATTTTGGCACATTTTTCTAGATTCCATTGCAGTTGGAATCTGGCAGGCCTGGGGTGAGGTTTTGGGCTCTATTATGGATTGAAAGAACTCCTTAAAGTCATTGATTGGGTATTAAAAATGTGTCTATATTTGGAGGTGGGGTGAAGGAATTATAAACAAATAGCGCTTTATTTGTTATGACTTGATTTATTTGTTCTGATTTGATTTGAGTCCTTTATTGCTCTGTTAAATTCCACAGCAAACGTCCCTACAGCGCACAACAACAAGTAAGGCTCCATCCCACACTTCCATGAAGGCAGCCACCCACAGTCTCACAACAAAAGCCAGTAAGCAACAAAACCAATTTGCAAAGGCAGAGAGGAAACCCAAAGACAAGGTGCAAGATCACTGTGCAAGATCCAGAGTCAAGGTCCACAGGGCAAAGACAAGTCCACAGGGCAAAGGCACAAGACAAGGCACAGGCAGAAACATAAGGCTAAGGTTCTCCCACCCCCAAAGCCAGGAGTGTGCAAGCCAAAGCAAACAATTGTTCCTGACAAAGATAATCTCTCCTGGCCTCTGCTTAAGTCAACCTAAGCCAGGTGTTCCTTGTGAGGAGGGGTGGGGCGACCTTCTCCCAAACATCCTCGCAGAACTCCTTTGAGCTTGCCTCCTCTCTATTCTAGCTGCCCTTGGATCGGGGGAGGCAGCTGTTCCTCATCAGAGGGGATCTGCTGCCTCTCAACACCACTGCCTTCTACAGCCGATCCTTCCCCATGTCTGTGAGGATAGGTAGCTCTCTGTCCAGTCAGCTACCTCTCCCAATGTCTGAGGGGCTGGGGACAGCATTATCTTCAGCCCCTGGTCTCTACAAACATTCCAAGGGAGATGCGCCATCCTTATCGGATGGTCCCAGTTCCAATGCCTCCTTTTCCTCCAAACCGAGATCTGATGGGGTCATGACATTATGTTTATTAAACATATGTATTTCCTCTGGCCATTTTTGAACCATACTTTGCTTGGTATTACCTTTAGTGAGAATCTGTGACAAGGCCATTGGATAAAATATAGAGTTAACATCTAAGAGTATGCAGGTCCATCATGAAGGTAAGAGAAAAACTTTGTGTTGTATAGGTAATTATACTTCAGGTTTTGTGTTAAATATGTAGAATAGGTCAAATATAAAAATGGAACTCTTTCCTTACTTACGTATATTACAATGGCTGAGTGTGTTTCAGAATTATACTCCATCCATCTAGCTACCAAAGGAAGTTGACAAATTGAGTGTGAAATAATTATATTTTTGCTTCCTATCTCTCATGAATTCTAAACATACGGGTCAACTGGAGTTTCAAAATGTCTTTGACTAGAGCTCTTTGCTAAAAGCAATATAAATATTCAATCTTTCATAAAGGCAGACACACTATGAAACATTATGATATTATATTCTAATTTCTATATTGTGAACTTGCATATTCAAGAGAAGAAAAATATATTGGCATAATTTATAAAAAGTATCCAGGAAACATTTGTTCATTGTATGTAACCATTAAATGGGAAACATTGTAAGGATGATGAGAAAAAAAGGGGAAAGGCCATATAGAAAAGATAAGAATAGATACTTTAGTTATGCTTTTTTCTCTTAGTTTGATCTCTGCTTGCTTCTTGAATAATAAATAAAACTTTGGGTGCTTTCTGAAAAAATCACCTTGGAAAATGGAACATTTACCATATTAGGAAGTGAGAGAAAGATACTTGTTTTTATTTTTTAATATTTAAATTGAAAATTTAATACTTAAATTTAATACTTAAATTGAAAAAAAATAGGAAAGAGTTACTTAATTATATATAATCCTTCGAAGAAACATAAGTCAAGAAGTTACTTTAGAACTTTATCCCCAACTTGCAAAACCTATTCTATATTAAAGCTTAGTCAATATTAGTAACTAGAGAAGATGAATGGCCAGACTGAGTTTATATTGGATTTTCTGCAAATTAACTTTATTTAGGCCATACACCAACATGCAGGAGATCTGCCTATTAGAAACTGTAATGTGTTCTCGATTAGTTGTAATATCAGTTCTGCATTATCTTAAAGTTTTAGCAAATGTATCACGTTGTGGACAACTTTTCTGATTTTTACAAAACACCATCAACAGTGTTACCTTGTATTTTTCCATGCTTCATCATTATTTGGGGGGATATGGGGCAAATGTGCGGAACAGTTCTTGAATGCTATTGACTGTTCTCCTCAGTTAAATATCACACAGGAAATGTGGTAAGTAACATTGTTCAAATCAAACCTGAACTATTGCCATCATTGGAGTAGACAAGTTGTCTTCATTACTAAGAAAACATCTTGAGCTAATGATTCCTGTTTTTGTTTTTCTTTGAGTGTGATTTGAGTTTCTTGCCTGAGTCAGCTGGAGATATTTTTCACTGAGCTGTTATTCTGTGATTATAGCACACAATATAGCCTTGATTATGATTTAGGACCAGAAAAGAGAATTGCTTGATATGTGGATTGTCCTGCTTCATAGAAAAGTGGCTAGACTTGGTAGATTTTTAGATTCATTGCACTCTTGAGCAAAATCTACAGGTTTAGTGCAGCATATGGTAATAATAGTAACACTACTGAAAGTTTAAGTACCTTAACTCCTAAAAAACCTGTGACAAGTTTGTACTACACTACATTTTAAAGTATGTAAAGAGTTTAGTTTTATTACAAAGGACCTAAAAAGAACTGGTTAGCAACTGTATGTGGATCTTTTCTAAATGCGTATGGCAAGGCATAGACCATTTCCTTGGTCCATTAAAACTTCTGGTTGATATTGGGGCAGATACATTGGCCTTTGCATATTAGTTTGATGCAATGCAATTATGTTTCATGTACTTACAAATCTCCAGTTAAAGTTGGTATCAGAACTAACTAAGGCATTTGATGAGATTTGGGATTCAGAAATAATTAATTTAATTAATTAATCCCTAATTAAATTCTAGAAATTTTTGATCCTGCTACTTCTCCTTTTTCTACAGATTCATCTACACTTTCTAATAAATGAGCAAAGATAAAACCCTACTTTCCTTATTAAAAGAATTTTATAAGTTGGGTGCCACAGAAAGAAAGCAGGTGAACAGAAATGGGGAGAAAATGGGACAGCTTTAGAAAATTTGTGATTGGAACCATTAGGAATATTTTATCTAAGAATCTTCAAAACCCTAGAACCAAATTGTGACTGGATTCCTTGCAGACATACATGCAAATACTGTTAATATATTTATGAACAACGCAACAATTTCATAAAGGATTTCAGGCCCCCTCAGTTGAGACAAGGGGTAGAGGACATGTGTGTGATAAATCAAAGATGATTGATAGGAAATATAATAATAGAGCTGAAATGGACCTTGGAGGTCTTCTAGTCCAACCCCCTATTCAAGCAAGAGACACTACCAGTTCAGACAAATGGCTGTCCAATATCTCCAATGGTGGAGTACCCACAGGTTCTTCAGGCAAGCCATTCCATCATTAATTGTTTTCACTATCAGGAAATTTCTTCTTGGTTCTAGGTTGATTCTCTCCTTGATTGTCTTGAAATTGATTGTGTATGCTTCTTCAGAGGCATGGCGCTCTTGGAAAGCTGTTTTTTTAAGGAGCTGTGATAATCCATTTCTCATTAGTGATGTAACG